CGGCTTCGGTGATCGTGGCGGTCGCGGCTTTGGTGACCGTGGTGGTCGCGGCTTCGGGCAACCTGCACCCAATCTTAATAACAATCGCACCAGCACTAAGTTTGACGACAGTGACTAGGGAGGTAAGTAACAAAAAGCAATTTCCGCCTGTGTGCATAATTAAATGAAAGTAAGGATAATCCATAGGAAGCGGTGCTGTAATGTAACGAACCGAATATAGGATCAACAGGTTTGTTTGTGATCGTGTGTTATTGACAGCTTGCCACTTCGAGGTCTTGTACTTCTCTTTCATATTCATTTCTGTCACGTTTTATTTTATTTTTTAGTGCTAGTAGGGGCAATAGTAGTGCCATTATTCATAGTTTTGGTGTTGTGAGGGCGATCAGCGGTCCAATGTCGCCTCATTTCGTTTTGCTTTGATGCTGATTTCCCTCATGGACGTAAAGGTGAGGGAAAGGATGTCATCTCTGAAAGCGCTTGGGTCAATCCAGGGGACCAGCTGAGACGGAGGAGATGAGAGGTGTATTTTTTTCATAATCGCCCCCCACCCCTCACCCCTTTCAAGGATGGACAGTGCAGCATGGATGGATTTCGGGAAAGCTTTCCGGGGGAGGTCAGGTTTACTGTATTCACAGTGCTCCATTCTTGAGCTGTTCGGCGTTGGTTCCCCACTCATACGATGACTCGGCCCTGCTCATCGGTTGCTGATGCATGATCGATGTGGTTGTTTTATTGTGCAGTCTCTGTAGTCGTACCGCTGCACCACGTGAGGGACGTCCGTCTCTGGCTCACGGTATACCAGAGGGGTATGAGTGTGTATGTCTGGTGATTATGAGTTGATCGGATGAATGATGTTTGTTGGTTGTCTACGTGTGTGTGTTGGTTGGAACATTCTCTGTTGATTGATTCTTGCTCAGAGGCGCTATTGAATTCACATCCGCCACCATAACTAGCACAATTTGTGCACCTTTGCCAGTTTCCTGTTTTCATTTTCATATATATATTTTTTTTT